GACTGCAGATCCAAATCATCGCGCCTTGAAGTTGAAAAACGACCGACGGGCTTTGCTGCGGCTCATCTCAAAGGACGTCACTTGCTTGGCCTTAGAGCCACTCGGCCAGAAGTGGGTATGGCGACGGTCTTGGAAATTGGTGAGACTGTCTCTCCGTTGTGAGGACTGTTGTGAGGTTGTCGCGCAATCTCAATACCCCTTTCGAGCGCCAGCTAAGCTAGTAATAATTTACATAACGTCTTGTGTAACTGTTGAGACAACTCGTGCTGACCTCGCGCACACATTGTGAGTTGCGCGTTCAAACGGCAAATTGTTGGTGCGTTTTTTTAGCCTGATATCTGGATGTCCGGATACGTTGGGAGCTATTTTTAGCTTGAATATCCGTATATCCGGATGACGGCCATTTTCCAATACGCACCATGAGCAGCACGACGGACGCAAACGAACGCATGGACCTGGTCGACGGGTATGGCGAGGAGCTCGCGCATGCGCCTCTGCTCGCGAGCATGGACGCGCTCGCTGCGACTATCCCCGGCGATGAGACCGTGCTCTGCACGCACTGCGGTATGCCGGTCGGAGGCGATGCGACGAGCAGCGACGGTACATCTCCCGGCCTTCGCTCCCATGCACTCAAGCTATCAAGGTAGACGTCTATATCCCATGTGAAGCGTCGCGCTTCATGGCCGCGCTCGTGCGTGGCATCTCGGACGTCAACATCGAAGACGAGCCGCCGGCCACGATGGTGGCACCACCGTGGTGGAGCGGGCGTCCGATGCACCCGCGCTTCCGTACAATCTACTACGAGGAGAAGAAACATTTGTGCTGCTTTCCGCAGTGCATGTTGTACAAACACTGCTCGGCGCCGTACCAGCACGACCACGCAAGTCTTGCAGGCTCTCTGGCGGTTGCGTGCTCCGTTCCGCTGTGCGCTACCTTCGTGCACGAATACGCTCTCGGCGACACTCAGGCTTTTGGCTTCTTCCACCGCTCGGATATGGCGATGGACGCATTACCCTCCTCGCTCACACCCGCGGAGCTCACGGTTGCCAGCAGCAAGTGGATCGTCGGCGACGTCGAGCACCACCGCAACACCAAGACCTCTGTGCTCTTTCAGAGTTATCCCGAAAAAAAAACGTCATGGCTGCTCCCTGACGGCTTTATGCACTCACATGGCGCGCAAGAGGTCAAGTACACGTTCTGCGTGCTGCTCTACGTCAAGGTCGGCGACCTCTACGAGCTGGTCGCGTACCAAGACTCGCCCGAGTTTGCGGTGCACAGCTGCGCGCGCAACAGCAAGCGCAAGCCGACAGCGACACTGGCCGAGAAGAACGCCAAACGTCCTCGCCTTGCCAACGCTGTCACCTCGGCCTAAATGTCTGAACGTGCGACGAGCGCCAGCCTGCATGTACTACTCGAGTTTGAATGAATCGAATCTTTTTGCGTTATAAAACTAAGGTGTTATACACACTTTGCATGCGCTACGTCTAAATCTGTGGGAGTTGGTTCATGTGTACTGCCTTGTTCGTTGAGCTGGTCACTTGGACGTTGGCGGCAAAGCCCGACACGCTACCGCTTCGGAACGCACGTACGTGTGTCTGCGTAAAGCCTACCTCTTCTTTGATAACCACAACATTCAAAACAAGACTAGAGTACCGAGGTCGACGCATTTGGCAGCGAGGATCGCCGTCTCGGTCGCTGACAGGGCCAAGTGGCGCGCCGCATCCAGCTCTACACATGTCTTGTATGGAGATTTGGAATACAAGCAACAATGGAGCACCAATGGCCGCGTGGTTCAGCGGTAGAAAGCGCACGCGGAGGTTCTCTTGCGGCGCGAGTCGCAAGAACGATCGGACAAAAGCCTCGGCGGCCTCGACACGCTGGAGGTGGTCCTACGCGCAATCAGAATGAGGACGACATTGGTCGCGAGACGCGGCGATGTACCGAAGAGGCGGTGACGCCAAACGCAAGGCGCGACCGAAGACACGGCGATGCTGCAAAGTCCCAATTCAGCAAACCTCGTTCGTTCGCGAGCTAGACAGGTCGTTGTTGGCATTCGCGCATGACCAAGGACGACGATGATGATGCGTACCGCGCGGACGTCGCTCTTCGTAAGGTCTTGGAGCGGGCTCACGACTTGAAACTTGGAGGCGGCGACGAGGCCTACCCACAGGTACTAGTATCAGTCGAGCCATTCAGTCGGCCAAAGGACGCACCGAGTCGTGTCGGATCGAGCTTGTCGTCTGCATTTGTGCCGTTGAAAAGGCGCGGTTGGCCACTGCTACGCTGCCTACGAGACAAGCTCGCGATGAGAAGACGTTGATGCAAAGCGCTGCACGAACGTCGTGTGCACATGGGTCGCAACGTCGTTGAGCGTCGTATAAAGGTTGGTCTTGCAGTAGTAGCAGCTACGAGTGTCGTACACAGACGGCCAAGCGCAGAGACCAAAGGGATTCACTTCGTTGCTATTTGGGGATTAAGTGCACTCCTACTGGTGGGTGTGTTTTGTCGCCACCCCGTCTCTACGTGCCTGGTCGCACCTTGTCGGGACTGCAAAGGGGCGTGTGATTAGCCTGGATCACCACACGAGTACAATGTCAATCGAGTGACCACGCTTGTGAAGCATACCTCTGGCCTTTGTTTTCAATGTAGAGCGGGTCGGCGCCTTCGGTCGTTGGTGTCTCCCACAGCGGAATGCCAATGTCGGTGGCCACCTTGCGTGCGAGGGCCAGCTGCTCGGACGGCAACGCGGCCGAGACGCCGAGGCAGGCAACGCTGTTGGTAGGAAACGCCTCGCGAACGAGCGCAGCGACGACGGACGAGTCGACGCCGCCCGAGAAGGCGACCACATTGAGCGTGTTGGGCGACCCGAGCGCCGCCACGTGCCGGACCATGGCCGACCACATGCTGCAAATCTTTTTGTTTGCCAATCAAACATGCCAGATTAAACTCCACCAATCAAGCACCAGGATTTCAAGTGGATGCGTCCCATTGGTTGAAAAACGAGCCATGTGCAGAGGATCGAGCCCCGTAGAGAGCTCATCGCCGAAGACAGCTCCCATGCGTCCCAGCGTAGCTCCGTCTTTGATATTTCCGAGGTCTGGGGCGAAGCGGTCGGTTGCTTCGCCAGATTTGCCGCCTGGGTGGCATCAGCTGGTTTCTAATTGTTGATTGCACATCAACGATGCTCTCAAAGGTACTACTTTTGCAAAGCAGAAGCGATATTTGCACAATACATTTTCAAATCGTTTCAACAAACCTTTTGATGCCCGCAGCTGCAGGTGTGTCCTTGCCTACCCTGGGTACCAGCGACAACCGTGACCAGATTGCAAAGTTGCGCGGCTTCAAGCCTGCAGCTCCTAGGCGACAGAACGCAGAGGCCAGGTGGATGGAGTTCTACAAGTTGGTTGAAAGTGTGGCAACTTCAACATCGAAGGGCAAGATCGTACATTCAAAATCCAAGTTTAGCGGCTGGCCCCTTGACGGAGGCGGTGCGACCGTTCCCGTCTCCCACGCACCCACCAAGCGTGCTGAGGCTTGCATGCTAGAACGTATGCTTGTGTCCGTAGAGTGCTGTACGTCGAGCAACGCCACCGCAACACGTGTGTTCAAAGACACATCCATCGAGTCTCTGTCATCATCATTCAGACATACGTGTACAAGTTACGCTGCGGTCGCCCAGGTTTGAGCTGCCAATGACGCGGCCGTCCTTGCTAACCACTCCTATAAATCTTGTTTCGATCGAGGACAAAATGGTCTGTATTGACTTTTGTATGGACGAGAACTCTACAGCGGCCCAGAACGTTGCCAATCTTAGCCTAAAACGAATCTTGGAGCGCTCAGCAGGACGCGTGGACACCAACGTCGGCAGTGACACATCGCTGGAGCCTTCGCGTGTGACGAGAAAGACATTTGAGAGATGCAAAAGGCGGCAATTGCAGATGACTAAATGGTAGAAAGATCCGCCGCGTTGTCGCGGGCACAAGGTTAAACCAGTTGCCATGGACCTCCGAGCCATCTTGAACGCTTTAGAGCTAGTGCCGAATTCTAGTGTTCGACTACATTTTGAGCAAATGCCAGGGGTACTCGTGCATGCCAAACACGAGGAAGGCGACTTTTGTGTGGCCCTCGACTTTACGCTTTTTCGCAATTTTGGACGTTCCAGGATGCAATGGTCCGCCCAGTGGTGTACTCCTATTCCGAAGCTGAGTCCTTGGAGAAGCCACGATCACACATACTACGTGGCCTCGGCAGCGCCGGCACAGCCATTTTTGCTCAAATATCATTCGAACAAAAACAGCAGTTCAAATGTACTTGTTTAAGCGAATTCAAGGTACGACGAGAGCACGGGCGGCATGCTTACGGCCAGCGAGCACAAGAAGATGACGGGCACGGACGCGATCTCGACCGCGAGGTCGTCGTCGCTCGAGCCGTCGCGGACGCCGCCGCAGGTACCACGTGTCGACGTCGGGCGTTGCGAGCTGGTGACATCTCTCGTGTCGACAGCGCTAATATCGACTTGATACGATTCGGTGTACCAATATCTGATTGGCTGTTCTAAAAAAGCACGAAGGTCCAAAGGCGAGTCGCCCCCACGCGAAGATGTCGCCGAGACTCACGCACACTTCGCTTCACAACAACGAACGTGGTTTCTTATTCGTCGGTGGACGGTTTACAAGGCACTGACGCGCATGAGGTCGCGGCTCATGTTCTTGTGGTGCGACTCGTTGGTGCCGCCGCCAATCTCGAGCAGCTTCGAGTCACGCCAGAGACGCTCCACGTTGTACTCGCCGACGTAGCCGTAGCCACCGAGCGTCTGGATCGCGCGGTCCGCCACCGTCTACATGCGCAAAACTTTGGTTGGAAGCTGTGACACCGCGCAAAAGCTTACCTTGGCCATATCACCGCAGTAGAGCTTGACGCCGTCCGTATCGACGCGGTTGCCCACGGCATCGAGCTTCATGAGGCTTCACATAACACGTGGTGAGCAATCCTAAAAATGCGGAAAAAGGGTCGTACCGGGCCGTGTTGTACGTGTAGGCGCGGCCAGCCATGTACTCGGCGTACGACTTGGCAATGTTGGCCTGGATCTGGCCGTAGTAGTTGAGCGGCTTCCCGAACGCGACGCGGTCCTTAGCGTACGCGTTCATGACCTCGATCGACCGGCGCGCAATGCCCAAGCTCATGGCCGCGAGCGTCACACGTTCGATTTCAAGGTTGCGCATCATGCAAATGACGGCGCTGCCTTCCTTGCCAATCTAAAAGAAAGGTTGATGAGCCTTGATGAGCTAGTAGGATGCAAACGTACCAAGTTGGCGGCGGGGACGCGGCAGTTTTCAAAGACGAGCTCGGCCGTCATGGAGGCGCGCATACCGCACTTGTCCTTGATGCGCTGCCCGAGCGAGAAGCCCTCGAAGCCCTTCTCGACAATGAACGACGAAAAGTCCTCGCGCGCGTTGCCCGACGTGCCCGTGCGCGCGTAGACCAAGAACGTGTCGCCGAGCTCCGTGTCGTTGATCGCACCGTTCGTGATCCACATCTTCGTACCGTTGAGAACGTACTCGTCGCCAACTAGTTTGGATCGTGTGGATGAGACGCTGTGATGTGAGGAGAGGAAGCTAGTACCCTTCGTGGCCGTCGTCTTCATGCCCAAGACATCCGTGCCGACAGCGGGCTCGCTCATGGCCATGCCACAAATGGCTTCGCCCGAGCACGCCGCCGGGAGGTACTTGGCGCACTGCTCGTCGCTGCCGTTGCGCGCCAAGTTGTTGGTGAAGAGCATCGAGTGCGCAAGGAACGAGAGGCAGAACGCAGGGTCCGACGAGCTGAGCTCTTCGTGGGCAATGACCGCCGCCAACGCGTCCATTTCCGAGCCGCCGTACTTCTCGGGCACGGTGATACCGAGCAGGCCAAGCTCACCCAGTTCGCGGAAGAGGTCGACATTGAACTTCTCGGCGCGGTTGTAGTCGATGGCCTGGGGCTCGACCTTGTCCTTGACGAACGACCGAAGCATCTCGCGGAGCGCCTTGTGCTCCTCCGTTGGGTTGTACAGGTCGTAGGAAGCGGTCGAGAACGAGCGCGGGGTCTACATGGAGGACCCATCATAAGGACCTCTTCCTCGACCACATGGGTCATCGGCGTCTACCTGGCGCGCCATGGCGATCGAGCGACGGGCAATGAGCGAGAAGGCCTTCATGATGCGAACGGTCTACGGCAAAATGTGGAGTGAACTCCGACGATGACAAATTTAGGGATGTACGTCTCTGATTGGATAAAATACCCGCGTCTGCGATGGGGATTGGCTACATCAGTAGATTTGTTTTTAATGCGCATTTGCATTATATTGGGGTTCATTTTTTACGCGTTATTTCCCCAATATTGGTGCAAAAATGAAGATTCCGGTTCATATTTTGTATTTAAATATCCACTCTTTTAATGTGCAAAGGTAATTAAATGCGACGTGGCGTCAGCCTTCATCGGCTGGCTGTCACATGGCGCCACGTTGAAGTTGGAAAGCATGTG